ATCCCACTGCTTGAGGTACATCCCAGGGTCTGTACCTCCTTCTGGTATAGAAAACCTTCCCGCTGTACCAAACACCTTCGCCCAGGTGAGACTTCCTGCCTTCTGTTGAGCTCCCACTGTACCAAGTTCATTGTGACAGTTCCCAGAACACACAAGCACCTGTCATAGAATGCACATTCAGTAATGTTTATTAAACAATACGTGGATGGGATGAATGAGGGCAAAGAGTAATATGAATGCACTGCCCATGGCTGAAAATACTGGGCCCTGTGGTGGGGAAGGTGCAAAGCCTTACCAGGAACACTAGAAACTGGCAGAACAGGCCCAACCCTCTCCTCTAGCCTCCTCTCTACCCTGTCAGTGTTCAGTCTGAGTGCCCGGGATAGTGCCCCGGGACCACACGACTACTTCCCCACTACATACATAAATTTCTTTCCCAACTTGCCAGCTTTAATGTTTTGGTAAAGTGATAACTTCTGCCAACTTTAGGATGCAAGAATTATCTCTCAAAACTTTAAGTCTCACAGGTTATGGTTTTAACTCTTTTCTGTTAAAACAACTCTGTTGCTTTTAAAAATTTTTAACCTTTGTCTCGTTGCTCCAAGTCTCCACCCTCCCAGTTTCAGTCTAAGGACCAGACTGAAGAAAAGACTCCATTTCCTTATTTTCATATCTGTCTCTTTAATAGATCATTTTTTCTAAGCAGACACATATTGTGTATCTAAAGAAATTGGGAATGTATTAATAGCTGTAAAAAGAGAAAAGAACCTTCCAGGAGAGCCCAATCATGAGATTGCAAGGTCATGCCATGGTTTCGGAATCAGCCTTAGATTGTGGAGCGCCTATTTGTGTATCTTGCATCTTTTATAGAAAAACAATAGCAGGGTACCGGGGTTGAGGTTCTTGGCGCCGCCTAGTGGAAAGAGGCGCCTTTGCATCCCATTTCTGTAGGCTGGCCGTGTCATAGAGATTCTTTAAATGCTCAAATAAATGACAAGAAACAAGTTTCAAGTTCATAATTTGGTGGCAAATCTCATTAAAATTCTATTTAAGAAAATCTGATGCTCCAGTGTAAACGAATCTCAAAACTAGACGGTAAAAGTGGGTGGTGGAGAATGTCCTGCACACAGAATTAATGTCTGTGTTTGGATCATTCTTTGGGGTGGGGGAAATCTTCGCTGTTCATTGGCATTGATGTGTCCTGCACAACCTGGAATGAAATCGGTTCTCTGTTATTCACAGTTAGCAAATAAACTGTTTTCTGAGCAACAAATTAAAAAAAACCTTCCCCAATTTAGGAATTTTCTTTCAAAGAAAGAGAGACAGTGAGGGTCTGGAAGTGGAAGATTATTTGTAGATTTATGTTAGTTTAGCACATAATTTTCTTGTATTTAAAATTCAGCCAATGCACCATATTTATTTGCTTGAAAACAAGGGAAATAAATCTGTGTCCCCACTAGACAGGGTCTCTCTCTCTAAATAGCCCAGGGTGTCCTGGAACTCACTGTGTAGATCAGGTTAGCCTAGAACTTAAAGGTCTGTCTCTATCTCTAGAGTATTAGGATTAAAGGCAAGCATCACCACCACACCCCAATGAATTTTGATTTATTTTTAAAGATGAAAAATGAGGTTTTATTTTTATTTTTGCAGAAAATGCCTTTTGGGGTATATATTGCATATACTCTCTTAAGAAAATAACAAAGCAGATATGTATCTGGGGTGGGGCAGAACCGAGAAAAGTTAACCCTAGCTCTGTGGGATTTGTTCTTTAAGATTGTCCCCTCTCATTTTTGAGGACATTCTCTGGGATCCCAATCCGTGGCACATATTCTCTTCACCACAATTGCTTCGGAAGACTTAAGAGCTAACTGACTTTTCTTTAAAAATATAATCGGAAACATTCACAAGGTGAGACCTACGGAATTTGCTTCGGAATTTCATAAAACACGAACCCCCCACTTCCTGCACACACACAAACAAACAAACACACGCACAGGACACACACACCCTCCTCTCTTCCTTTCTGTCTTCACATTCCATCTTTTCGTAGGTCATATCCCCATCGCCTCCCTGCCAATGTTGCGAATTATTCCAAGAAAAATACCCTGCCGACCTGCCCCGCACAAGCTGTGCCGTCAGCCTTTGAGCTCTTGAGTCATTGTAGGCGTTGGAACAAAACAAAAACAGGCTTAAATGAATTATTTATCAAGGTCGAGAATAATTGATTTGTGCAGGGCCGTCAGTGCTGGATTTTAAATGTTTTCCCCCTTCCTCGCTTTCGAAAGCTGGCTGTGAACGGGGACCCCAGCGCGAGGAGCTCTTAATTTGGATTGTTTTGGGATGATGTCAGAATGGAGTCTCTTAATCGATAACCGACCAGGAAGGAAGAGTAGCATTTGCCCGCATTCCCCCGCAGCCCAGGCACCCTTCAGCCCTTTCCGCAAGGGTCATCTGTGCCAGAGGCTCAGGGTACCAACACTGTCCATCTGGGCCTTGGAGTCTGAGATCAATTGCCTCAGTAAGATCAGACCTCAGTACGTGGTTGCAACCTCTGATGGAAAAGCCAAGGCCTAACCTGGGAAGGTCTGCAGGGCCAGCACCCAGTTCTGGCGCCAAAGGCCACTGTCTTAAGGACTCTGAAGCTTCAGCCTAGACAGCCCCATTGCCACCCGCGGGGGCGAGCCACGTGGCTATAGAGGGGTTCCCCCGCATCCCTCAGGTCACCAGCGTCTGTCCCCAACAAGTCTTGGCTCACCAACCCCAGTTCCCTGATAGATAAAGGTCTGTTCGCCTCCTAAGAAAGGCGAGAGCTATCTAGATGGTACGTCTTGGTAGCCCGGTCCCTTTTCAGAGACAGCAGGACGATAAGTGACACCATGGTGGTAGGAAACAGTTCAACGTGTTCTGGAAATAACGCGGGACCCCCCCCCACCCCCACCCCGGACCCGGATCAAAGATCTAGATGTCCTTAGTATGAATCACCACGCACCTCCATCTTCCAGATCTGAGAATCACACCGGAGGAAGCAAAATCTCAGGAGGTCATTTGCCTCCGGGATACCTCTCAAAAGGGTCCTCAACAAGAAAAAAAGAAGAAAAGAAAGCGACGTCCATAATTGCCACTCAACCCCATTCTTTCCTGACATCATTCTACACAGCCACGGAAACGATGCCAACCACGCAGAGTCATAAGGTTCTTAAAAATGGTAATTTGGAGTAAAATGTAACTCAAAGAACTTTGAATCATTCATTAGCACCTTATAATTACTCTGCTAATTAGGTTGACACGGCACTTAATCAGGAGTAATATGCCGTCTTGTCACTGGCGCTTCCCATTACTCTGACATTCAACAAGAGACAGGTTGGAGACGTCCTGAAGAAAGAACGCAAGTTGATACCCTCCGACAAGGCGGAGTCTCAGGCGCGCTCCAGGTCCCAGATGGATCCGTGGTGACTGTTTCCTTTCCAAAACCTCGGCCTGCCACAGTGGGGCGGGGATGGAAGCCCTGGAGGGAGGAGTGGGGGACCGCAGGCTGCGAACTAGCCACCCGGTTTCAGAGGCCCACAACAGCCCGACACCGCAGGACACTGCAGCTGCCCGCGCCACTGGAGAACGCCTCGGTCGGTGATTTTCCCGGCTCGGGAGAAAGTGCTTGGCCCGGCATTTCTTCCAGCACAGGCTCTGAATGGAGACAAAGCGGGATTTGGAGCCAAAAGCCCGATCCTCCCCAACCAGATCAAGGATGTAGCCCCGGGCTCAGTGCTTCTCCAGAATCTGCTCGGTACTGGACGGTACTGGAGCGCACCAGCTCCTGGAGAGCGGAGCTCAGAGGCTGCAGGCCCACGCGGAGCTGTGGCTCTGGGTGTCACACACTTCCCTATGGGGTCTCCTAGCACCCCCTTCCCCTGCCCTTCGTGTTTCCGCTCTGCTCAAGAGTGCTTGGGGACCGTGCGAGCGTGGCCGCGCTGCAGGCCACGGGGATCCACGGGATCCACTCGCCCTTCGCGGCCTCTCCACTCACCCTCCAACCCGACTTAGCACGGGCACAGCTAACGCTTGGTACCGCATCCCGGCTTCCTACTCGGGGGCTCCCTTCTCCTGTGCCCTCTCTGGTCTCCCCCATCTCCCTGGCCGGGCTTGTTTTACTGTGGGTACCACTTGGACCCCTGGAGTAGCTCAGGGCTGCAGGCACTCGGAGGTTCGGGTTCTCAAAAGAGCAGCGGGGTTCGGGGCGCGCTGCTGACGGGCTGGCCAGGCGCGCGCCCATTGGCTCACCGCACGCCAGCGTCGCTCGTTGGCGCGCAGCGGCCAATGGGGCGCGGGGGCCCGGGCGGCGGGGGCGCGGGCGGCGAGAGGCGGCGGGGGCCGTGACGTCACGGGAGGGGGTCGGCGCCGCCCGCGAGCCCGTGGATGACAAGCCAACGCGCGGGGCAGAGGCGGGAGTCGCCGGGCGCCGCCTGTCCGCGGTCTCCTGCGCCCGCGCTTGCTCCTTCGCTGCTTCTCCTCCTCCCGGGGCGGCGGCGGCGGCGGTGTTCGCTCCGCAACTTTCCAACAAAGTTCAGAAACTCGGCTCCAGGACGGCCGGGTCACGCACCGCGGTCACCTCGGGGGCCGCCCGGGCTTAGCGGTCGCTGCACCTGCCCCGGCCGCCGCCGCCGCCGCCCGGGACGGGGCAGTGGGCAGACCCAGGCGGCGGCGGTGGCGGTGGAAGTGGCGGCGGCGGGGTCACTCCCGCAGCCATCATCTTAGCCTCAGTGCGGCTCGCCGCGGCCGTCGCCGCCCACGTGCGCGGTGCTCCAGCGGAGGACACCTTCCGGCTTGTGGCATTTGGGGGCTTTGCCCTCTCTTTCTTTTCTATTTACTTTTTGTATAAGGGGGAAAAGTTGAGTCGAAAGTGCCCACCAATTGCCACCTCCCCATTATCCTTCATTCCCTCTCCACTTTTTTTTTTTTCCTAAAGCAGTGTCAACGTTTTTTTTTTAGTGTCTGTTTTGTTTTACGATCGATAGTTTCCCTTGCTTGGTCCCGGCGGCGGCTGATCCGCGGAGTGGCGTGGACCTCATGTAGAAAATGACAGCCATGGAAGGGGCTAGCGGGTCGAGTTTTGGAATAGACACGATTTTGTCCGGTGCCGGTTCCAGCAGCCCCGGCATGATGAACGGGGATTTCCGATCGCTCGGTGAAGCGAGGACCTCGGATTTTAGGAGCCAGGCCACCCCGTCACCCTGTTCGGAGATTGATACCGTGGGAACGGCGCCTTCTTCACCGATCTCGGTCACCCTGGAGCCCCCGGAGCCGCATCTTGTGACAGACGGACCCCAGCATCACCATCACCTCCACCACGGCCAACAACCGCCGCCGCCGTCCGTGGCCCCCGCGCAAAGTTTGCAGCCTTCGCCCCAACAGCAACCGCCGCCGCCGCCGCCGCAGTCTGCAGCCCAGCAGCTCGGCTCGGCCGCCGCGGCCCCCAGGACTTCCACCTCTTCCTTTTTAATTAAGGACATCTTGGGAGACAGCAAACCCCTGGCGGCTTGTGCACCCTACAGCACCAGCGTTTCTTCTCCTCATCACACCCCGAAGCAGGAGAGCAACGCGGCGCACGAGAGCTTCAGGCCAAAGGTGGAACAGGAAGACGGCAAAACCAAGCTGGATAAGAGGGAAGACTCCCAGAGCGACATCAAATGCCACGGTGAGTTGCGCCGGAGCTGCCCGGGTCACTTGAGTGACCGCCGAAGGAGAGGGGCCTAGGCAACGTACCTTAAGTTCTGTGGTTTACATTTCTGTCCCTTCACCATCATCCAGCTCCGTTCTTTGTTTTATATAATTTTAAATGTGCTGGCAGGAGGCAGCAGTTGGAAGAGATACGATGGGAGACACTTTTCGTTGAAAACAGGGGCTGACTTGGGATTTTTTTTTTTCCTTTTAGCTGAGACCTTCAGAATGGAAGTGATGGGTGGAGAGAACCTGATAGCTAGTTGTGGTTGTCTAGGTCTGTGATCACAACTTGATGTTTATTTTTGAATGGAAATATCACCCCACTATTTTCCAATACTACACCTCTTAATATTTTCTAAACGCCATCACAGGAATTGACTAATTTAATGTTGGAAAAAATCCAAACATTATTACAAGAGCAATTTATTTTTACTAGCTCGTGATTGATTCAGAAAGCAAATCACAGTCCGTTTTTAAGAACACCCTTCTCACCAATATCCCTCTTCTTTCCAGTAACAAAATATTTACGAAAACTAAATTTTATGGAATTGAATTTGTTTTTGTAAAGTCAAGATAACAACGGAAATTATATTTTAATACTCTATTTTCTTCTTGGGCAGTTTCAATTTCATAAGTAACTGTTCTGGTCTTTGCATTACAAAAGATTTTAAAACACCAGGGAGGGTTTCCCCTCTCTTAACTGGGATTATTATTATTATTATTAATGCTTAATTCTCTGGTAAAGATTGCTGTCTAGAAGGTAGGATATGGCTCCTTCATTTTGCTGTTTATAGCATTAGCATAATAGTGCCCCAAACAGATGTACAGTCTGGTCTGGCGATTTCTCGTTCACCAACCTCCCCAGTGGGTCAATTAGAGAGATTATTGTTCTTCCTGCAGGGAAGATCAAGGAGTACTGCACAAACCGGTACAAACAGAGAGGGATTGACATATCGATTTCCTAGCATTTCAGGAAAAAAAAAAAAAGTTGACAAATAGAATCCGGAAATTTCTGTGCTGTCACCTGGATGGGTTCAAGTGTGTTTTTGAGCTCAGTTCAGTGTCTGGGTGACACATTCTCTCTGAAGCTTGGGAAGAACCTGATACAGAGGAGGTCTGCAGAAAGCTTGAGCCCAACATTGTCCAAATGCATCCGAAAAGAAACAAAAGGCATCTTAAGTTCCAGCTAGCAGGAAAGATCTTAGAGCAGTGTGACCTCTGTCTATCTTGAAAACAGAGTAGAAAAACTTTGGAGAGTGCCTAATAAAGGACCTCCCTTTGAAAACAAGAAAGAGGGGGCACATAACCTCCTCTCGGACCAAAGAAAACTAGAAACAAGAGACCATATACACGTAAACTCTCCCAGGCCTCTTTGCTATCCAAGGCCGAGCGAAGAGTGTTGGGGGGCTTTGCCAGGTGGGCACTACTCTGTTCTGTGGTTCAGGCTGATTTACAGAGCCCTGTCACTGTTTCTACTCTAGGAACAAAGGAGGAAGGAGACCGGGAGATTACAAGTAGCAGAGAGAGTCCCCCTGTGAGAGCCAAGAAACCTCGAAAGGCCAGGACAGCTTTCTCAGACCACCAGCTCAATCAGCTGGAGCGTAGCTTTGAGCGGCAGAAGTACCTAAGTGTCCAGGACCGCATGGACCTGGCAGCCGCACTCAACCTCACTGACACCCAAGTCAAGACCTGGTACCAGAATCGCAGGTGAGGAGGGCTGGTGGGTCCCTGCCAGCCAGGTCGTGACTGTCTTTGCTCCTGCCCTCTGGAGTCTCGGAAAAAAAAAAAGAAAGAAAGAAAGAAAAGGAAAGGAAGGAAGGAGGGAAGTAAGGAAGGAAGGAAAAGAAAAAAAAAAGGAGACTAGGGACAGAGAGAGTCAGAGAGTCTGTAGTGGGTGCTTTCGGGCAGAGAGGTAAGGCACACATCCAAATGGGAGCGACTTAGGGCGCCGGGAGTTTGAATACTTCTGTGCTCTCAGTGTCTTAGCGTTCGGTTCTTTTCCCTGTGAAACTCGAGGCACCGCAATCTCCTTCATTTTGTCCTCAAACAGAGCCACAATCAGATTGAAACATCTGTGTAGCTGACACCCAGGATGAGTCTGTGTCCACAGAGTACCTTTAGAACCTCCACAGGCTGGTTCCAAATGTCTGCATCTGCATAGGGCAACAAGACTTGGCTGTCGAAGTCTCCACAGAGCTGTCCCATCAGCCTTGGCGTAAATGTTATGCAGTTGGGAAAGCCAAAGTCCAAGCCTTGGTTGCTGTAACATGGAAGATGAGGGAAGGCCATCTGGGTTAGAATTGGACTGGAGGCCGTGGGCTGGAGAATCCTGCAGCTGGTTGAGCATCCATCCTAGAGTGTACATGGGGGAAGTCTGTCCCCTGTCCTGGCTGTTTCTGCAGTCTCATAAAGAGAAAGGGTGGGGAGGGGATACAAACCCTATCCCACATGACTGATTTTAAAAAGACATTAAGAAAGTGTCTGGCCTTACCCTAGTGGCTAGGGACAGACTTGGGCAATAGGAGTTGAGGTTATGTCCTTTTTCCACACCTGGCACTAAACTCTCTGGGCTCAATTCTCTGCCCCCTCTGTCGTTTGTGTCCTAATCGTTCATAAGTGGGGTTGGAAATGCCCGTCCAGTTGTTATCTTACCATAATTTTCTGTCTCATTACATACGGTTTCAGCCACCCTAATTCTGTCGGAGAACATTAGTGTCATCTGTAGCCAATTTAAAACGGGCGACATGTTTATTAATTTGGCTGGAGCTGCTGGGTATGGATGCCCCACCAAGCTTGCCTTCCTTCCTAGAGTATTCCAGTAAAGACCTCTGTCCTAGCTTGGTGCAGTGGAGAGAGAGAAGAGACTCCCAAAAATGGATTTAATTAAGCATTACTTTCTCTTTAAGGAGAAAAGATCTTGAGATCCATTTCCTGCCACCTAGAATGGTTAGGAGATGCCGCTCCCTAGGGAGAGCTCACTCTCAAACGAATTCCATTTTTGAACCTTGGTCGCCCTTCTGCCCTAAGCCTGTAATGCCTGGTCAGACTTAAGGGAGAATTGTCCCAGCAGCCTTCTGAGAGTGCAAACCCGGAATATCAGCTGCCCTTTGTTTCTGGTTTTGGTTTCCTTGGGTGTGGTGGAGGAGGGGCCGAGAGCCACCCTTTTAGATTGCTGGTCAGAGAACATTGGAGGAGAATTGAAGGACCAAAGGAAGACCACTGGTGGAAAGATGGGATCTCATTTGGCCTCCAGGAAAGTTGCAGGACGTAGTTAACTCGTTGGGCAGACTGTAGGGCAGAGGGCCAGAGAAGGCAGCGACGCTTGTATGACTCCATCTGCAAGTGTCTCCACGCAGAAGATGGGAGTTTGAAGAACTGATTTTTGGTTTGAGCCGGCCTGAGAGCGTGGGGGCGGGGAGAGGGACGTGCATCTGGAGTTCCCCAGGCCTTCCTTGAGTAGGGAGGGTAGGAGAAAGCGGGGAGCTGCGGGCACGGTGCCGGGACCATCCTCCGCAACCGCCGCCAGCTCCCGCCCGATTTCTTTCAGAACCAAGTGGAAGCGGCAGACTGCAGTGGGCCTGGAGCTGCTAGCCGAGGCCGGGAACTACTCCGCGCTGCAGAGAATGTTTCCGTCGCCTTATTTCTATCACCCAAGCCTGCTGGGGAGCATGGACAGCACCACGGCAGCGGCGGCGGCCGCGGCCATGTACAGCAGCATGTACCGAACTCCTCCAGCACCTCATCCGCAGCTGCAGCGGCCGCTGGTGCCCCGCGTGCTCATCCACGGCCTGGGGCCTGGGGGACAGCCGGCCCTCAACCCTTTGTCCAACCCCATCCCAGGCACCCCGCATCCCCGGTGAGGAAGGAGGGACAGTGCCGCAACCCTCCAGATTCCCGCCCCGCCCCGGACAGCTGCCCCGCCTCTCCCCCACAGCACCAAACCAACAGGAATAGAGGCAGAGGAGTAAAGGGGGGAGCTCACCGGTGGGCCGGTGTCCCCAAGGACCAGCCAACCCTCTGCTCTCCATCTGCCCCCCCCCCCCCGAGGCAGGGCCGCAGAGCTCCCCAAGTGTGACTGAAGAAAATACTGACCCCATTGAAAGTGCAACCAGTAAGTGAAAACACCCCCACACACGACAAAAACAGAACTCTCGAGTTTTTGTTTTTGTTTTTGTTTTTTTAACAAAATGACTTTAGGGACAAGCAGCAGGGAGGGAGGGGGGAGGGCTAAGAGGGGATGAGAGAAAGGATGGAGAGGCGCCTTCAGGCAGAGAGAATTGTTACTGGACGGAAGCCTGAAGTTCACCCCCAGGCAGAAGGTGGTACCCTGGACATCCGGTCTGCCTCAGAGCAGAGGAAGGTGACGGAGAACTTTGCACTGATTTCTCATGAGCTTTTTTTTTTTCTTTTGGAAAAGTGGCATGCTACATAATATGAAAAAAATGTACATTTGAAAGACTGAGTGATAAGTGATATATCATATTTATTATATGTTGTCCAAAAGAGTCACTTATATACGTCAGTAATAACATGAGTTTTCTTTTCATGTCTTTTTGATTCAGTAAAATAAATGCTTAGACAAAAGTATAGATTTTTTGTGATTGAAAATTACAAAAATAAAGTTTATCTTTTTTTAACAAGCGATGAAACCCCAGGGAGCTGATTTTACTTTAAAAAAAAACACGCACCGATTGTGAAACGCGTGACCTGGGCGCATAAAATATCCTTTCAGTAGTAGTGTACAAAATCTGTCCAGACTTAGGTCTGGTTTGTAGCAGACCGCTTCATTCCAGGTGCCCGCCTCTTCTGAGCCATGTAGACTTCGTGTAGTGTCTGTCTTTTTCGTGTTTAAAGAAGGAACACTTGTTTGTGGACTGTTAGTGCTAGCTAAGTAGGCAGCTGACTTTTCCCTGCTGTTCCTGCTTAGATGTGTAGGTTTTGCCCTGTGTGTGGATTCTTCTGTGTTCAGCTCCTCCCCTTCCAGAGTTCTTCCCGGGGCTGAGAGTGTCCCCGAGCACTGGCCAGAGAAGCCAGCAGGAGCTGGGCGGCAGGCGGACTCTAGGCCGGCCTTGCAGCTGTTCAGCCGCCTGCGGCTGGGCGCCCGCACTGTCGGACAGCCTGCGAGCGGGAGGCTGTGGGCCGAGCAATTAGGGATCCCCGGGGGACGCCGGGTGCCCTGCTAACAAACCCTTGTCGCCGCTTTGATCCTTGCCTTCTTAGTCCCCAATGGCGACCTTCTATCCTCTCCAGCCCCTCACCTAGTCGCTCGCCCTAATGAGTTGTGCTTGGATCTGCGAAGCGGGAACACAACGTCAAACTCTAGTTGAGACAAGCTTGCCAAGCCTTTTATCTGTGCTTCTGGAAAGGCTGGCACCCAAAACGAAAGACCTTGCCCAGCTTGTAGAGAGGAGGCTCTTGTGGGCTTCCTCAGCGTGTGTGCGTGTGTGTGTGTGTGTGTGTGTACACGTACCAGAGCGACGGCTTGATGTTGGGCTGCAGGTGCCCTGGGCCAGGCTGACTACCAAATCCAGCATTAAAGATTGTTTTAAGAAAAACTGTAGGGCTGAGAGACAGGCTGGACAGACAAAGCTATGGAGCTATCCATGTTCTTATTTAGTGTCAGGTCCGTTCCTCAGCAGCGGCAGGTGGGGGCCCATGAGAGCATCCTCCAGTCTCAGCGCTCTGACAAAGAGGCCAGAGAAGCAGCTAATCCACAGCCAGACCTGGCCTCTAACTTAGGCTTGGTGCTTAAACTAAGGGTTAAAAAATGTTTTTTTTTTTTAATGTGATGTGGAAATGTAAACTGAAGAGAGGTGGGATGGAAAATGGAAGGAGAAAGAATGAGAAAGAAATGGCCTCAGGCGCCTGCATCAAACCAAGGCTAATTAAGGAGTGGCTTGCAAATTTCACCCCAGCTCATCAGTTGAATTAAAATGGTCATGGTCTGTTTATGATTCTAACTAGAGTCTGGGCTGGTCCTTCTACATTTTATTTTTATTTTTACTTACTTATTTTTGCCTGCTGAGTGGGATAAACTCAGACAGCTGGGCTTGGTGGGAAAAAGGATGTCACCTTGTTCAGTGGAAAGGTCCAAAGCCTGAGTACTCAACAGACACCCCTATTCTATCTTAGCATTGGTTAGATTTTTTTAAAATCAAGTTTCAATAGTTTGTGATGATTTGCCTAGGCCTATAAAATCATCTAAGGTATGAGGATGCTAAATATCTCCGGTTCACACTGGATCTGGTAAACTCAGTGCCGAAGAGGTTTACCTAGGGAAAGCACAGGTCTCACCTGTGGAAAGAATCCACATAGAGAATTATCCAGTGTCTGGTAGGTCAATGTATGAGCAAACTCCCCATCCTAGGCAAGGCCTTGGCCAGTGGCCCACCAGACCCCTGCTGAGGAGCCAGCCCACTGTAATTTCCCTCTCAGGCTTGAACTTGGACCTTTATGGGTGGTCAGTGCCCAGGCAGCGTTTTCCACTGCTGGTTCTAACTGTTTTGCATACATCAAAATTTCTGCAGGTTCACCTTTCCCTATAAAGTCATGTTTTCTTGCATCTCCTAAACCACGTGGCGGAAAATGTCCATCCTTCTTTTCTCCATTTGTTTTGGTTTCAGCTACTTGCTGTTCAACACAGAGCATTAGATTGAGTGTAACAGGAGGAGTTGTTCTGGGAAGAAAGTTGGGTACTAAGTTCCATTCTCTCCTTTAACGTTGCTGCAAGAGACCTTTACAGATGCCCCAAAACCAAAGTCTGGGAACTACTGCTTAAAAGTCACGTACAAACTTCATTCCTTCACAAGGGGGTCCTTTCGAGCTTTTGTGCTTGTCCTGTTAAATTTGGGATGGGGTGAGGTAAAAAGGGAGGAGCAAGTGCATGTGTCTTTCCACAGGAGACTTAGCTGAGTAAAGATTTTCCCGAGTGGCTGTCATTGGCAGCTAGCTGCATTCCTTGTCGTTCCCCTGTCCAAAGGGCAAACTGTAGCGGGTCTCTGGACTGATTAAAGTCTAGACAAACAGAAAACGGAGACGACATTCTTTGCTCCCCACCGGAACACAGGAAGATGGACTTATTTCAGAGGGATGCTTAAAAACCTCAAAAGGTCCATCCTCAAGGCTTGCTGGCCTGGGGATCCGGTAAACACAGTAGAAGTAATCAGTAATCTACTTGTTAAGGAAGAAGTTAAACTTCCTGGCCAGCAGCCAGTCATTGCAGCCCAACCAAGCTATTTTCAATAAACTGCAAAGTAACACTTGCTGCTTGGCTCCAGCCCCAGAAAATATATTTACCACCCTGTATCAATTTATTTTTGCCTCTCCCACCTTGAAAGGAAAACCCACACAGTGCAAATTAGACAGCCAATTTCCTGTGTTGCTGCAAAAACCAGCTTACCCTTAAACAAAGTCTCTCCCTCCCACCCACCATCTGCTTCTGCCTAGGGAATCCTTCAGGAGAGTTTGCTCAACTCCCACCCCTTAAACAAGGTGGCTTGGAAGTAGTTTGGTTTGTTATATTTTTAACTTTCTAAAAACATTGGGAAAAGCCCTCCCCAGGGCTAGGGAAACTTCAATGCTTGTTAAACCACGAGGTTACAAAGAAAACACTGGAAGAAAAAGCCAGGCAGGGCTTGAAGTCAACAAGCTTGGAAAACAAACTGACTTTTCACCACATACTGACAGGTCAGGAGGAGATAAAACCGGCTTTTCCTGGGCAGCTTTGAGCCCTTGTTGGCCCACCCCATGTCCTGGAGGCTGACCACAGACAGTTGTGGGCACAAGGGCGAGTGGACCCATCTCCAGGGCTGACCCTGCATGAACTTTCTGGGGGCTCCAGTCCTCTCTACCACTTGAGTGTTTTTGTTTTTTTGTTTTTTGTTTTTTTGAGTTGGAGCCCAGTGCCCCAGCACCCCTCCATATCGCCTGTAGAAAACAACTTGCTTCTGTCTGAACAAGAGTAAGTGTGGACGCCCAGACTGGGTAAGGGTGAGTGGGTGGGCTCCAGGGCTGTCTTTCTCAAGGGAGGTGACACTAGCCTTTTGCGTTGGAAAATGAGCCCCACTATCTTAAGGGTGATGGGAAAACTCAGAGGAGACCTTTGCCTTGCTTTCTTCTACCTGGAATGTGAAAGCCTCTGTCATTTTGAGCTTTCCTGGGTGCGCCCACCATTCTGTTTCTTCCTCTTTACCTTTCCTCTCTGTCCCTCCTCCTGGCCATCTCCCAGGTTCTCTTTGCTAGCACCACAGACAGCTCCCAGGTCGCACATTGGAGCTAGGATCCGAAGGCAGGGGATTCCGGGAAGGCCCAGGCTACTAGGAAGGGTGAGGTGGAGTGGAAGAGTGTGCCCACGGGGGTCGGGAGGAGGTCCCGGGGTAATTACAAGCAGCTCTCCTCGGCAGCGCTTTCCTGATTAACTCGAAGTCCGACAGGGTCACATTCCAAACAGTCTATAGATCAATAGAAGTAATTAAAAAATCCCAAAGATCTGGGGGTGAGTAGCGCTCCACACTTAACGGAAGTTCTTAACGGAAGGACCCGGAACTCTGCTGCCCCCGAGCTGTGCACCCCGGCTGCCGCAAGGTCTCCCTTGGAACATGACCCCGCGACTCTTTTGCTTCCGTCGCGCGCGGTCTCGACAGCTGCAAGCCAAGGACAAGCTCTGAGGAGGAGGTCGAGCCACTCTCGGGGTCCGGGATCTGCAGCGCTTCTCCTTCCCCGCGTGCTCACGACTCTTCGCGACCCTCTGATCAGCGACAGAGGGTTGCCCGGATGGGAGGCCCTAAAAGGAAAACAGCATCGCGAAGAACGCGAGGCAGAACCCGGCTTGGCCCTTGGTGCTGTCCGTGGGAGGGCATGGCCCTGCGCCACTCCCGGCCGGCCGCGCAGAATGCACCAGGCGCTGGCGCCTCCAAGTCCCGGTGGTAATTTGGCTCCGGGTCTCAGTGCTTGCTGCCTCAGGGCAGTCTGGCGGCCTGTACGCTCCTGTGCTGGTAGTGACAGAGGTGACAGATGAGTTTTCAGGATGACTGGGAAAGGAACCAATAGATAGACCTGGGTCAAAAATCAAGACATTTTTAAGGAACAGTCCTCGGAATGGCCTCCAGAATAGTGTGTGTTGTGAAGGAATAAAAGCCAGTCTCCATCTTCCGTGAAGATAATAAAATAGGCTTTGCAGCTC